TGCATTTGGGCCTTCTGTGTGTGTGTGTGTGTGTGTGTGTGTGTGTGTGTGTGTGTGTTAAGGATTAAAATCGGTCTTTGTTAAAATATAGATCCTCAACACCAAGTGATGGCTTTTGGCCCACAAAGTCTGTGGCTGATTATGTGATTTCATTGCATAAATCAGTTGATTTAATTCAGGTTTTTCTTTCTTTAAAGAGAGAAAAAGATAAAGATAGAGATCAAGGTATTCCTTGTAACAGTGCGACAAAGGTTAGAAAATTCAAAAGACCCCTTTTTTCATGATGGATGATTCTTATAAGTAATCTACCGTTGCTTGTTTGTGCAATGTAGGCAGAGTTGTAACCACCCCCCCCCCCCCAAAAAAAAAAAAGACTACAACAGCTAGTCTATCACTGTCATTCAACTGGACATAAAAGGTCTTGAATAGGAATAGCCAGAGCCAAACGCCTTTGAGACACACAAAAAAATTGTTTATCTTGGCTTAAAACACAAAATCAACCCCTCCCCCCCAGACTGTAAGCTGTGATGCTGAACCCCCCCCCCTCCTCTCCTCACCTCTCACCTCCGAGAGAGGGAGAAGAGATTAAAGAAAGAGAGACAAGAGAATGATTGATTGATTGATTCCTGACGCCATTCCTGAGCAAAGTGGACTTGACGAGTGAGACCCAAGGAATCCAGGTGATGTGGACAACAGGAGAGGAAAATTAAAAAAAAACAAAAATATATATATCACAGCAACAGTGTGGAGGCGAGGAGGAGCAGTGGCAACGCAGAAGCCGGTCCACAGAATCATCTGGAGGGAGAAGAAACAGTGACCGTTTGATGAGCTCTCATGTTTTTTGTTCTTCCTCTTTATTTTACAATTAATATCCAGTTAAAGGAACAGTGTGTAAAAATGAGGAGGGACATAGTGGATTGCAGATTCCAACCATTCCTTGTGCTCATTGTTCTGGAGGTTTATAGTGGGAACCGAATTACCCACAGAGGTCTATTCCTTTCCAAAACAAACAGACCCGTTTTTTTAAAACCAGTAGAAACACTGAATAAAACACTTCGAAGTTACAAATCCGTTTTCTGACACTGCTCGTTGTGGCAGGACTTCTAACTACAGTGGCCGATGCGAAAAGGCAAATGACCCAATGTAGAGCTAGAGTTTGGTTTGTCCATTCTGGGCCACTGTTAAAACATGGCAGTGCAACATGGCGGTCTCCATATGGAAATATAAGTGGCTCATTCTAAGGTAACAAAAACAAAGATTTTTTCCAGGTGAGTACACACTAAAGAAAACATACTTATTATATTAAACTCCATTTCTGCCAATATATCCCCCTAAATCCTACACACTGGACCTTTAGGTAATTCTCACACGTTCACTTACAGAAAATAGAGTTAGGGTCTAACAGATTCAATAACAAACTATGATGAGATTTACTGGACGAATTACATTTTCTTTGCATTAAATGGCTTAATATTACTGAGTATAAAATACTTGAGATGTATGTTGTATTTAGAATATTCTTACTGCTTTAGCTTGCCTTCAGACAGCCCTCTCTGACGGGGAACTGAAGCCGTTATCTGTGCTCTCAAAGCCACCAGACTCCATTGACAGAAACAGTAATTTTAACGCATGGAACACAAGCAGTGCTTCGATTGGTTAGTTAAGCCCAGTTCAGACCAAAGATTCAGAACGAGATGAAACCATTATAGAAAGTTGCAGTAGTGTGAACTGGCCGCTCTGAGCTCGACTCAAGCCGGCTGATAGTGTCACCTGCAGCTCAGCTGATCAAATCGCCGGCGGCTGGTTTTAGAATGTAAAGCACGTCACCGGTTTCTACAGCTGATCAGCTTGTAGTGAAGTCCACTGGTCAAGTCAAAGTGACCGCAGATGGCGTGTTTGCTTGCTGCGGCAGGTGCTCCGTCCCTGCCGAGCACATCTACAAATGCAACTGTAGCCAGTATCTCACTATCACGATCCTCGTTCATATTTTAAGAAGCTACAAATTATATTCAGCCACAAAATATGCCTCAAAAGCTGCAAACAGAGTGGATGTACAGAGTGTTGTTGCAGCATCTCATCTAGTTGCATTGGTGTGAACCAGCAGGTTTTTAGAACGTTGCAGAACGGTGCATTGCAAGCATGTTTTAACTTATGTGTCATTGTGTGACCCTGGTAAATCTGAACTATCCCTTTAAAACACCAACGTCACACAATAACACAAAATAACTAACTGACCTGGCAGCAGTAGACCGGCAGCTCTCGTGTTCTGCGAAGTAAAAGTTTGGTGTTTGGAGTTTGGTAGCTTTGAAGAGAGCGATATAACAGCTTCAGTTCAGTTCCCCATGGAAAGGGCAGTATGACAGCAAGGTGAAGCAGTAATATATTCTAAATACAGCACACACTTAAACCGATACTGATCTTTTTTTTTTTTTTTTGGTAGTTAAAATTTCTGCTGACCCCTGTCCATATCAGTACATTGCATAGCTTCCATGGTGATACTCCAGCCTGCTTCTCCAAACTAGGGGTGTACAAATTGACATCTTCTGTATGTAATACACCGACTATGGATAAGTGCCTCACGCAACCCCATTTCTGAAGACCCAAAATATCCCTTTAATGTCACCACTATTGTAAACTACATTGTTTGAGTGACAGGTGACCACCACCGAGAGATGAGAGCAGCGCAGAGATACCACAGCAAATTTTCAAATGAGTAATTGACACTTAAAACATTCAGTTACAAATGTTTATGCAAGAACTTCCCATTAATTTTATAAAGCATCACAAGTATTGCATTTATGTGATAAATTTTAGAAGAAATGTGTTACGTCAAGACTTAGGTGACATCAGAGACAATGTTACTACTGCTGCCAGCTGTTAATGATAAAGTTAAAGAAACATTAACAGAAGTTAAAGAATCTGAAATGAGGAATTAAGATGTGAGAATACATTTCAAAGCTGCTCAAACGAACTGCAGAGAGCAGCTTTGTGCTTGCTGCTGCTCTAATTTAGGGGATGTCACACTCCTGTCCCCTTTCAGTGGACTCATGTTATGCATTGAAAAACTGCAGAGAGGAAACACAGTAATTACATGTGCTGATACAAAGCGGATAATGGGCTATAAAACGTTGCACTGATAGTTATTATCACAACAAGAGGCCTGACAGGGAGCAGCTGGTGGTGAGCGGAGATCAGGAGGCAAGAGACACAGCATCTGAGCAGTGTCGTTGAGTGGGAATGATAACATCTCCTATTTGACCTTTTGGGATAATATAATATCCTTTTAGTATTGATTGTTTAATGCCTGTACCTACAGTGTTTCAAACATTGAAAGGCACCAGTATGGTGATATCTTGTGTTTAGCATCAACAAAAATAATTTTTTTCTCACCATTATTACGTCATAGTCAGAGTTAAAAACCAACACTAAGACTAACACGAGACACAAAGCTCTTGACTTTAAGAGAGACTAAAGCATTTCATGTAGAATCTGTATTTGCATATGAAGTTGCAGCTCCTTAAACAGACTAGTAGGGCTGCACTTATGCGATGTGTTTCCATCCACCTCTATTCATGCACAGTTTCAATTTGTGCATTAAAAAACAAACATGAGTGGCAACACCAAAAATTTGTAAAGATCTCAAAATATCAAAAAAAGTTTTTACTTTCCAGAGAGGTGGAAATGTTGGTGTATTAATAAAATGTAAATGGGACTAAGTGCGATGGCAACAGATTTTGCAAATAAATGATGATGTACCGTCATTGCATTGACCGCTGTAGCTGGATGGCTTTTGACATGCTAATGTACGGACAAAGGGCTGTTAGCCGAACTCTTCCAAGAGCACATAACTATAATAGTTGTTCAAAACTCTGTACTTTCATAGTCCAATGTGCTCTCTGTTATTATACATCCATTGTTTTCCTTCGAGGTTTGACTGGCGCTCTTTTAACTACATCATCTCGTTGTGCCCTGTTATTCTGCAGTGGCACCTGACAGGAGAAACAGCGCCACCTACTGCCTGTCTCCACTGCCTGGGAAACCCAACATAATGTAAACTGTGACACACTACATCCCTCACATAAAGAACTACTCTGCTACTTGAACATTTCTGGTAATAGTGCAGATAAGATACAAGAGTTCTAGTACCAACATGAAAACTATATTTTGTTTCCAAGACCTTACTTTGAGGATTATATTAGAAAGTGTTAAGAAAAATGCCACACAAGAACTTTGTCTAAATAAAATGCAGTCTAAAGATGGCAGAGTCTCTGGTAGTGGGTACTGTCTGATTAAAGGATAAGTACCCAACATTATGAATCTAATCAGAATACTGGGTGCCAGCTTTAAGTACTTTGTTTTTAACATCTTGTGCTACGGACATATTTTGGTTGGTACCATAAAAAAAGTACTAAGGTTCAATCGACCGCATGAATCTACGCTGATATAGAATATATTTTTGCGCAATTCTCCATATCAAGGACACTCATGTGTTTAACATTTAAGTGGCATAAAACTTAATATTTTCATCTGTTTTCAGATCAAATTTCTATTGATTATAGTCTCTTAAAGATGTCAAAAGGAAGCATGGGGTTAGATTACTGTTTGGGTATGTTAATCTCAAAGTTTGATGCCAGGCTGCCGCCAGAAAAAATATCTAAGTATAAGCACAAGCAAATGTAGGACTTTTTCCAAGTTCTGACCGCAATAAAAGTTAAATTATACTTGGTGGTGTACCTTTAAAGTACCCGTTCAGATAGATAGTTTTAAAAGTGGTTTTATCCTCCTGAAGAATCTCTACTTCAAACTCTACAAAAGCAAAATTTAAACCTATATTATAGTGTTCTATGAGAGGTCTTTGCTTCAGCTCTTGAGTGGCGTGTTGTTAAATTTAACCCAAATGAATCAGTCGCTTTTTTAAGCTGTAACACTCACTCGCAGTTTTAGTGTTTGAAGTAGTTTTCATGATGGACTCTCAGCTCTGCTGCAGTTTCAGAGCAGAGATGAGGATCATCCTTGAAAAGTTGGTTGTTTCAAGACTTCAGTGCAGCTAACTAATATTGTTCTGCACCTGCAGCTTTAAACACTGTCCCTCTCTAAAGTTTATCTAGCCTGGACTGCAAGCGATGTGGACATACCTGTGTGAGATGTTAGGACCTAAAACCAGGCTGGAAACGTGCAGTTTCTTCAAAGATGAGCTCCTTCAGTGTCTCTTTGGGTAGGTCATCCAGCTCCATGTCAAACTTGAACGGGGCCTCAGCGACAGGCTGCACAGGGAAGCAGAGACGATGCTGGCGTTAATGTACAACCAAGACTTTTGCTGATGATCCCACTCAGTATTTAACAACAGAGCAGCTGAATCTAATACACCAGCAGGTTTAAAAGCGTTCACCATCATTCGGTTATTTAGACATAATGTGCTGGTTTAAGATTTTAAGAATAGAGGAACAAAACAGATGCCAAAAAACTCTGTGCAAGATGTTTTGATTAAAAGATTACATAGCCTCATCCTAAACAGGCCCATAAAACACAAGCTGACATCTAACAGCCCAAGACAACGGTCTCACCTCATCTGTGGGGTCATAATACTGCTCCAGGTAAGGGTGTGCCAGGGCCTCCTCCACCTCGATCCTCTTGTGAGGGTTAAAGGTCAACATCTTGTCCAACAGGTCCAAAGCTGAAGCAAAAAGAGAACATTCAACCTGATTCTGAAACAACAATGAGCGTGCATACCCACTAGAGGGCACCATCACACCCTACATGCTGCAACAATGCATCACTGACTCCGGAAATTCAGTGCTGTCAAGGATGAATTTGTTGAGTAGCTGCAAGGTAAAAAAAAAAAAAATTGTACCCTGAAATCACAATCAAACTGTACACCCAATCTACTCATCCAGCGTCCCAATTGTTTAGCAGAGGAAACTCTCCCTTGTCTGCAGCACAACCTCTCAGAGATTCATAATATTGTAGAATTGCCATGATCAGTGGGAAATGTGTTTGTCGATGAAGAGTTTGTCTTGGCTCTGACCTTTGGGATCAGCGTTTGGGAACAGGCGGTTCCATGGCACTTTGCAGCGCAGAGGCAGCGACAAAAGATAGTTCCTGGCCTTAATGTTTATGATGCAGTTGAGATCCTCCTGAGAGGGAGAACCCAGGATCCCTAAAGAGAAGATTAAAGAGAAGAATTATTTTCTGATGCTGTTAAAGACAGTTTGGAACTCTAAATGAAACACACCGTCTACTGATTTACTCAGTCCTTGCTCTTAATTTTTAAGTAAGTAACAGTCTGAAGCCACAACAAAATGACAGATGGGGGAAGCAATATGTGGTCTAGCACCAAGACACAAAAAGCACAACTTTTATAAATGAATATTAACAGCTACAGTATCTATGGACAGGCACCAGGAAGCTGTTGCCACTGACGGAGTGTGAAAGTTTAGTTCAAGTCTAAAATTGTCAAATCTTTTTATGAATCTATTTTGCAACAGATTCACATTTGCTTCAACTCAAAGGCAAACATGAAGTTACTGACACTGTGATATAGTTAGTGTAAATCTACGTAATCAAGAGGAAAAAGATGGGCACAATATGCATGATATACTTTTTTTCCATATTAAAATTAGCTGATTTTTTCTGTCAACTATGCAAACACAGTTATTCCAGGAGGAAATCATCTTAACAGCTTCCACTCCAGCAAACATGGTTTACACTCAACTAATAATAGTAATTTGGAACACAGGTATTATTGAGTATACTGTTTAAACATGGAAACTTTTTGACAAAATTGAAAAGTTTTTTGGAAAAGCTGAAGTGCCATCTCATCTGTTTGCCTCTTTCACAGCCATTGTTATTATAGCCACATGCATTCTGCAGAGACCCGCAATACTCTGCCTCTGATTGGCTGGGACTCGTCCTCTGGGTAAAAACAATAACGCTGCCAGAGTGCGCTCGGTAGACAATGGCAAGCCCGCTAGCTAAGAAAGCTCAAGTAAAAGTTTGGGCATTTCAGCTCTTGTGGACAGAGGAGCAGGCTTTTGTGTGTCAGAAGGACTTTAGGTCTTAAAAATGTCCTTTGCCAAACATCATGTGTGTCAAACAACATTTAAAGACCATCCACGAGAAAACTTTAAGGACGACCTTTTAAATGTGCTTTGTCCAGCTATGTTTTAAAGACACCACAGTATTTAGCATTGCGCTTGACGCGCAGAGCATGGATGTGAATGAAACATTACTTTTAGCAGTCATGGCAAGATACTGTGATTTGACTGTGAGGGAGGAGCTCTGCTGCTGAACAGCAATGCCTCAAACAACAAAAGGTGAAGACATAGCAGTTTGTATGGAGCATTTTGAGGACAGAGGGATTGATGTTGTAGTGATTAACGTGAAATTTTAAAATGGTGCTTCGTATCAAAAAGGTTGCTGAGCCCTGCTCTAAACTCTTCTGTTAAACTTTTTGAAACCATCTTCTTGTGGACAAAACCTGTACCTTAATAAAAAAGTTTACACAGTTCATTTCAGTTTTATAGTCTGATCATTTAAGTTCAAGTCTTTAAGCAGTCTCTGAGTGTTTAAAAGACAATACTAAAGCACCAAATCAGTCCCAAAAACACTGCACATCAAAAGAAATATTACCCAAAATGTGGTTAAGCTGATCCAAGTAGTGCTTCCCAGGAAAAATGGGCCTGTTGGACAACATCTCAGCCAGGATGCAACCAACTGACCAAATGTCTATGGACTTGGTATAGCCCTGAAAGTGAGGGGCACAAAGACACAGTCATGATTACAGTACATTTACAGACAATATGATAACAATTACAACTGGTTGACTATGTCATACACGGTATTATCACAGCATGAATGCAAACAGAAGTAAGTCAAGTCTAGTTGGGCCCATTCTCGGAACCCATCGGCTGTATTCGGCGTCTGACTTCCGGCAGACGGTGATACAGCCTCTGGGGGCAGACCCCTGATTTTTTTGGCATTCCAGTTTGAGGAGGCGAATTTCCATTTCTGACTTCCCTTTATATTTAAGTAAATATGATGAACCATTGCAATGGATTCAGAGTTTGCAGTGACGCCAATTATGTTCCGCCTCGTTAGTTCACCGCACGGAGCATTTAACCTGGCAACAACTGCAGCCGGCTCAAACGCGATTGATCAATATCACGCAGACTACAAACAGCCTAAGAATAAGAATAAGAATAAATAGCCTAAGAATACAGGACCTTCATTATGGCAGTGTTAGTGCCTCATTCTTCTTTTTTCTTAAAAAAGTATTAGATTATCTGCAGGAGTCAAAAAGCAAAATTTAAGATTTAGGGTAGAATACAAAAACCTAAGAGAGCTCTACTGCAACCTAAAATCAAACTAAAAACACAACTACTGTAGGGTAAAAAAAAAACCCAACATACTGCATCAGCATAGTCAAAATGATTTCCTATCATATTTAATATATTAAAAAAATGCAGGACTATGATATCAAACAAAGGTTTTAACCAAAAGTATCCCGGCCATATGTTAAAAAAACCAGCAGCTGAAATACACGGGGCATGGGCGTGGGGAAACACACCTGCCACAGCATGTCCACAGCAGAGCGTGTCCATTATAATCAACTGAAACTGCTACACTGACCACCTATGCCGTGCTTCTGAACGCTATTTGCACATATATTTTCTTTTTTTTTTCCTCTGCGCACAGCTACGTGGCCCTCCAACAGGTAAAACTAAAAAAACAGAGTGAAAAACAAGTAAAATCTGTTTAAAATATGTATGAGATTAATACCTCATTATATCAGAGGCAATGTGATGCAGCAGAGCAATATTATGTTTTTACATTTCACATTAAAATCAAATCAATGCATCCTGTTGTTAAAACAATCCAGTTAATTAATTCAGTACCAGACCATGTAGCCTACACTTCCAAACTCCCTGCATAACCAACTACATTATCACTTGGCAAAACTCTGCACATGCTACAAAGACAAAGTCAGTGTAGCAAGTAAAAAAAACCCTCTCTGCCATGCTCATGTGACACATCACCTCAATGCCCCATGTATTCCAGCTTTAACATGGCAAAACAAAGAAACAACAACAACAACAACAACAACAAAAACATGTCAGCATTTCTACAGCAGGCGAGGAAACTCACCTTGGAGTTAAGCATGATCTCAGGTGCTCGGTACCAACGAGTGGCTACATACTCTGTTAGGAAACCAGTGTGATCGTGGTCAGGGTCAGCCACACGAGCCAAACCAAAATCACAGATCTGCAGAGAGATGAGTGACAATACAATTAATGACTGTAACATGAGAGGATACGAGACCTTAATATGATGGAGGTCATTTCATTGACGACTTAAAGCCCTTTACAGGTTGGAAATGCTATTCAGAGCCTTTATAGGAATGGTTTGCATGGTTGTTTTGCACTTGTCAGAGGAATATATTTTGCTAATATTGATCTTTATTGTGGTTTAAATTTTCAGTGTTTCTCTGCCAACATTTAGACAACCATGGAAGACTACATTTTAACCTATAAACAATTAAATTTAGGCTTAAGAGGCCGAATGCTGCAAGGTTTGGCAAGAACATCAACCAATCTCAAATATGAAAATATGGATCATCAGTGACTGAAAATAAGCCAAATGTAATTCCTCTTTGAGACACTACCTTGAGATCACAGGTGGTGTTGAGCAGAAGGTTGGAGGGCTTCAGGTCGCGGTGCAAGACGTTGGCAGAGTGGATGTACTTCAGCCCTCGTAGGATCTGGTAGAGAAAGTAGCAGATGTGGTCGTTGCTCAGGTGTTGAGTCTTCAGGAGCTTGTACAGGTCTGTCTCCATGAGATCCTGGACAATATATCTGCACAGCGCCAGGTTAAAGAACTTCTGCTTTAAAACAGTGGAAAACACACTCCTTGTAAAAGCGATAAAATTACATTACTTTGTCCTGTTCATACAATTCACAATTTTTCCCCATCTGAGGCCACATAGGTATGTCCCACAAAATAAGACCTCTGGGTCTCCAACAGGGCTGGGTGACAAACCAGCTTAATTTCAGTCATATCAGTATGTTTGATAAATTCATTCCTTTATACTGGCTGCCATTCAACAACGTTTCAATCCATGACTTGTTTACTTTTACTGCCCAGCTCTTGGATCCAAACTACATTTAGGTTTTACTGCCACACTCAAACTGGACTTTGTTAGCATTTCAAACAAAATAAAATAAACCTTGCATGATTTAGCTCAGACAATTATCCTAATCTTTTTGTTCCTGCAGGCTGGCAGTGCCATGAAAAGACAGCCAAACTTTGTTAGTGTTTTGGGCAACCTCTAAACTCAGTCAAATCTCAGTACCTGAGGTGTTATGGTGGTTAAAGCTGGGGTAGGCAAGGGGTTTTTTTGGAGCGCTATTTGGGGAAAAAAAAAATCAGAATCATTTCAGTATATTTCAATTAAAGTATTCTGAGAGAAAACTACACTCCTGCACCTCCTCTTGGCTCCATGACAGGACACTCTGGCTAATCACAGGTCATTGCAGAGAGAGGGCGTTCCTACTGGCTGTTCCACAAATGCAGATATGCGTGCCATCCCTTCTGTTAAAGCCTCATGTAATGACAAAAAATCCTGCAAAGACAGTTGCTATTCCAGCATTGGCAACAACTGCTTCAACTGCAAAGCAACCCAAAAACAGAAGATGGACTTATCAAAAAAAGACAAAAAAAAGGCAATAAAATGTGTCAATATCGGCAAAGCATTTTAGAGATGGAGAGATAATGTTGCTCACAGTTTAGCCTTTTGCTAACTGCAGCAGCTTCACGTTCATGTTTATGTAGCCAGTGTTAGATAGAGCCACAAATCATAGTTTGTCATCTAAAAAGGGCTTTGCAGGCCCACAAGTTTGCAAAGAAAACAGGACGATAATTCTTATGAAATCGCTGCTATATAACGTCATCATGATCACTATCGCAACTGGGATGACTGAAACAAATGAATAGCACTCGTACAGGTTTCTGCATGAACTGTGGGCATGTGCCCATGCTCATTGATGGGACGGGATGGGGTTTTTTTTTAGCCTTTTCCAGAAAAATGCCATCGCAAGATTTAAATGAGCTGGTGCTCTTGTAGCTACAATGTACTGAGACCATGTTTGGCCTTCCCTAAATAACCAGGTGACAGAAAGCTCATCTCTGTGTAGGAGAGATATTTTATCTTGAAGGGTTTATTGTTTTGTTTCTGATCTGGCAAGCAGGAAGCAGTGAGCTGAGTAGCTGCAGGCTTCGGCAACAGCCATTTCTTTTAACTGAGGCAGAGTGTAAAACTACACACACTGCGTTATGAAACTGACAGTAACTATCCACTCTACCAGTTTGCTACTGTTGCTGCTGGGCTACAGTGAAGAGCGTCTCTGCCAAATATATGGTGACAGGTGGTTATTATGTAATAAAACACAACGAAACCCTCTACTCAACTACAACTGCTGGAGTGTAAGACCAACTTCACTGGTAACACAAAAAGTAATTTTAAATGTTGGAAGTATATTAGAATCAATGCACAAATATGTGTAGAAATACAAATACTTGGGAACATGCTATAAACAACCTCAAAATGGCAAGAAAAGACTATTAATGCCATTATGGACTAACCTGAAGATGAAAAATTAAACTGCAGACACAAGGAAATACTTTCTTTTGTGCACCAGACTGTCGTGATGAAGAAGGAGCTGAGTCAGAAGGCAAAGCTTTAGATTTATCAGTCAATCTACACTCCAACCCTCACCTATGGTCATGTGCTTGGGGTAGCGAACAAATGAATGAATGAAATCGCAGATCCAAGCAGACGAAATTAGTTTCTTCCACAAGGCGGCTGGGCTCAGCCTTAGAGAAAGAGTGAGCAGCTCAGACATCCAGAGGGAGCTCAGAGTAGAGCCGCTGCTCCTTCGCAATGAAAGAAGCCAGTTGAGGTGGTTCAGGCGCAGGCACGTCCAACTGGTAGGAGGCCCTTGGGCAGACCCAGAACATGCTAGAGGGATTATGTATCTTATCTGGCCTGGAAACGCCTTGAAATCCTCCTGGAGGAGCTGTAAAGCATTACTGTGGGGAGAGGGATGTCTGGAGTACTTGGGGCAGCAAGCTGAGCAAACAACATGGCCCCAGATACATGGATGAAAATGGATGAATGGATGGATATAATTTTTCACTGCACCATTTGGTGTATTCACACTTTTTTGACGGCCCTTCTGCTGCGGTTAACTTCGCCCAAAAGCAATTTGACATCAACCACTGCAGCATTATCTGTTTTATGACAGTTTAAATATGTGTTATAATGTAATTTGAGCTGACTTGCCCTTTAATTTTCTCAAGAACTGAACAGTACAATTATTGTGAATTTCACACGGTCAGTCGGGGTCAGATCACATTAAAATTCTCAGCAAACCTCTGAAAGAAAACATTCATTTAATTTAAGAGACTTTAAAAATGAGGACATACAATATCATTTGAGCTGAATTCTCTGTATAGTAATGTTCAGTAAAAATACTTCAAATTTTATACATTCATAGAAGCATTTTGTACAGCTTCTCAGCAAGCCTTACATGGAAACATGTTTATCATATGAGGACTTCTTCGCTGACGTTAATATATGATGTGTTTTTGGCCACTCTAAATAGCACAAATAGACACGCCTCAAAATTAAAACAGTGGCTGGCTTGACTGGGTGCTGTTTTATTTGTTATTCTACTGTGTGCATGAGAAACCTAGGGGTGTCTGAGTGCTCTCATCTGAGACTATGAGGGCTGGCAGCCCTGAACAACATATTTTCTGTACTGAGTTACATGCACCGATGCATGTAGACTTGAGAACTAGGTGCACAGCTCAAATTTTGCATGCACTACCTTACATATGCATGTGGTATCTTGAGGCTTGCACATAAAATACATTGGAACACATCTAAATCAATCAAGGGAAGTGTACATAAAAGGATACACGTCCTTCATCTGATCAATCGTTGGTGTGCGGATGATGTCGTTGATGCTGATGATGTTCTCATGTTTGAAGCGGAGAAGGATTTTGATCTCTCTCAGGGTGCGTTGGCAGTACGTCTGGTGCTCAAAAGGGCTGATCTTCTTAATGGCCACACGGATCTTGTTGTCCCGGTCATAGGCAGAGCTGGATGATCAAAAAAACAAAGACAAAAGCAATCAATCAGACATGAATGTTGAAGGAGCAAAATACTTAAAAAACATTAAAACACTGTCAGTACAGCATTATCAAAACTAAATTTTTCCCCATTCAATCTAGTGTCGCCTCCTCTGAACCAGGAACAGTGATACTTAAGTTTTAAATTCCTGTTTTGTGTATTTTTACTCATCTGCACAGCTGAAGCCTGTCTCACTAATACCCACAATCCTTGCTCCAGATATCTCTTCAATAGGTGCCAATAATGCCAGTTTCCATGTGGTTCGGGTACTACTCCAAGCTGCATCGTGAGCAAATGTGCTAACTGCTTTAAGTCAAGTCCATAAAACAAAGAAAGGTGCACCAAAAGTTGCTAAGTTTCATGACATTTTGGAGCTTCTCTGATTTATACAAACTGCAATAAGCACTCGTGGCAGTTCCTTCTTTCACTATGACCCTTTGTAATATGTTTAAATGATCCACTGAACTGAAAAGACCAGAAAAAATAAATAATATCTTCCTGTGCAGACAAAGTTTTACTGAGCAGCAGCAGTCGGGCGGCTTCCTGTGGTTTTCCAGTGGAAAGCTTTTAATGTGAAGTAGCAACGGCAGGAAATGTTCGGGTTGCATTAGCAGTATCTTAACACTACAAATAAACCTCTGATACAGTGTGGAGCAGAAAAGAATAAGGCTACCGCACTATCTGTTAGAAGAGAAATAAAAGTAGGAATGTAGCAGTCAAACAAAACTCCCATCCGTAAAATCTTATTCTACGGAAGAGCTAGTCAAGTACTGATAACTGAAAATTTAGCACACAAATTCATGACACACAGCTCAGTTAAGTTTAGAGATCATCCCTGCTTGATCCAGTTACCAAGCATGTCCACAATATTGCAGATCAGCTGAGAGGATGCAGTGAAATAACTTTGGATCAAGACGTGCCACTGCTCAACACACCATAGTGCATCTAAAGTGTGTTGCACTGTGTCAGAGGGAAAGAGACAAAGGAGCTTGATCAAGATAAGCTCACCTCACTCTGGTTTCCCACACCTTTTATGAGTCCATGTGCAAAGTATGACGCAACGTAAAACTGTAGTTGTGACAATGGATCATACTTTGTTTGGACTGGAGCTTAAGAGGTAACATTTGAAAATAATGTGTTTATAAATGTGACTATTTTAAATGTATGCTCAAACAAAAAGACAGAGAAGTATCTGGTAAATCTATATCAACTGCAGATATTCTTTATCAATATCACTCTCAGTAATGCCAGTGACAATTCATCTGGTTGATTGAATATGAATGTTAGCAGGCAGCTCATCTCCAATTTGCGATATTGGCATCTGTAATCACATACAGGATATAAAGTATGTTTGCATGCATGGGATGCCTGAGTCGGGTGGATCTCACACTAAAGCCAGACCGGCAGAAGGGGCAATAAGTTAATGCACAGAGCTGAGGAGGTATGTGCCTTACACTCCACAACAGATAGCAGGAGTCAGATTTTGCTTGTCATGTGACCAGAATGATGCAAACAACGCACCAAGCATTGTAGTGCCATACAATGTCTATGGAAAGCTGCGGCGGCTGCTCCAAGCTGCGGCCTTTTGATTCTGCAGTGAGACGCGGCCAAACTAAAAGTTGGGATAGTTAATTTTGAGCTGCAAATTTCTGCCAGAGAATACCCATTTCCAATTCCTCCGTCCACATAAAAATGTAATTGTTGCGGTGAGCTGCTGCTTGGTGTGTTTATGGCGTAAGGAAAGCTGACCTAAAAGGCAATGGCGTTTTATAAATATTTCAGATTTAAACATCAATACTAATAGGGAACCTCACAATGTTAACAAGGGAAAAGGAACTGGTTAAATTGCAAGAAGTTGGAGGTGAGTAGCTCTTCATCTAATAGTTCAATGTGGCTGCTTCTTGTTCCTTTACTTGCTGCATGTTTCAAACTGATCCACTGCCCAAAAAAAATGCTAGAAATGGCCACTGTCTTATTTTGCAGATGCATTTTTTGATAAACGATGGCAGTAGTGCTAACGTTAGTGACAAACACACCGCATTTTATGAGTACTACATAGTAAAAGTAAAATATTATGCATGTTTCGCCAGTTAAATGCTTTTACTGTGAAGCTGCAGCAGTATGAAATGTTGGGGTTGCATTAGCATAACTTTATACAGCGATCTACTGACACTGAGCGTCATCGACAAACATTTTTTCTTGTAAAATGTCCAGTGTGATCGGTAACACCGATGGGAAAAGGTCCTCACATTGGCATCCCTAGAATGTGATTTAAAAAGAATATCAAGATAAAGGGTATTATGGCATTTTGACACACACAAAACTCCTGTGTATGATCAGGGGTATACAGGAAGAAAAATTCCAGCATGCCCTTTGGCATTAAGAGGAGGCATAAATCAAACTGTCTGCTGGTCCTTCCTTTTACTAATTTGCATCAACAAGTTTTAACGTGTTCCATGATCCCTAAGGTCTTTTGAGAGCATTAGATTTTTGTTTACTCTGCTTGCTTTTAATTGTTTTCCGTTGTGCCACCGTGCTGAGCCGGCATTTTCTTTTTTAGCAGCTGGCAGGTTCGGGTGCATGATGGGAGCTTGGGAATGATGATTACGTTACTGTTGTACAAAACCATGTTGTTCAAATTAATGATTCCAAGCAAACTGCAATAAAAGCTAACAAAAGGAGTCACTGTCTGAGTGTGTCTACACCCAGCAGACTAATTGTTCAATTCCACTTTGAAATCTTGGCCCTGCCTGTGGTGAGACACCTCCTCCACACCATTCCAGGTACAGACATGTCCACTGTTGAATTTCTGGCTCTTTTCACTGGCTTAATGGCCGTCTCAACTTTCCCACACTCACTGAGCCTGAGATATTTTAAATTCCCGCACTAGGGTCGCCTAAACCAGCATCCTGCCTGCCAACTTTAACTCCCAAAAGCCATCATCCCGGTATTGTTTTTAAATCCAATAAAATGGGAATAAAAAGATGCCTGGGTGTTGCATTCAAGTGCTGTGTGACTAACGCATTTATATCCTTTTTAGTTATTTTTACAGTTTCATTAAAATATTGGGTTCTTGATCATTAAAGAACACTGAGGTTTTTATGCAATGACAGGAATTCAGTCCACCTATTTGGAATTCAGTCCACCTATTTGGAAGTCTGTCACAAAGAATGACAATTTATATTGTAGTCTGTTGTTGGGTAGGCAAACTGGCCAGACATCTTCAGAGCACAGGAACTGACACATCAAAACCAAGTCCAAACACACCACGTTCTGCCAAGAAATGCAAATTACGGCTTCCAGCTTCCAAGATTTTCTGGATTTCTAAGTCAGCTGCTCTCTCACTGTTGCAAGTTAGCTGCCACTCGGTACCATCATAAAACCAAAATTGCCCAATAAAGCCATAGCTTCAAGATAACAAATTTAGAAGACCATAAGTTCTCTAACTTCATCATTTACATCTACAGCCAAGAGTGATTTTATTTCTGCACATTACAAACAACAGAGATGACTGAAAAACACCCACGTAGTATGACAAAATAAGAAAATGAGTTGCTATAGTGATGGGGGTGTAGGGACTGAAATGTAAACACAAGTGTGCCAGTCTTCTGCGAGGGAAATATGAGTGACCTTCCTTTCCACTTGTGTGAGAGGAATGTGTGTGTGTGTGTGTGTGTGTGTGTGTGTGTGTGTGTACGTGTGGGAGGAAATAGCTCTCCATGTTACTGTTCTACACCAGCAGATACCCTCGTGTAAGAGAAGCAGGGAGCTACAAGACTTATTCATCAAAGCTAAAATCTGATCCAGGGCAGCAGAGCCAGTTTTGCACAGACATATCCTCAGATTGTTTTTAGAACAGTCAATGGTACACAGTAGCCTCCACCAATTTTTGACACAGCACAATATTTTCTCATGCACGATGTAAACTCACAAGCAGAACGTCTCTGCAACACTATACTTATTCCACATATATGAAAAGAAGAATGCATTTTAGGTACATTTATTTCTGCATAATTTAAAAAAGTTAAAGATAAAATGTGTGCCTAATTTGGCTTGTACACAGCACTGTGCATTAGGGCTGCAACTAACAATTATTTTCATTGTCGACTAATCTGTCGATTATTTCTTCTATTAGTCGACTAATTATTTTATCGTAAAATGTGTTAAAATGTTAAAAAATGTCGGTCTGTCTCTCCCAAACCCCAAAATGATGTCATCTAATGTCTTGTTTCATACTCACGCCAAAGGGTTTTAGTTCACCGTCATGGGAGAGTGTGTAAAGCTGCCAATATTTGAACATAAGAAGCTGCAATAAGAGTATTTTGGGGTACTTTTATAGTAGTTTTCTATGAAAAATGACTCAAACCGATTAGTGGACTACTAAAATAGTCCAGATTATTTTAATAGTCAATTAGTCATCGATAAGTCTACTAATTATTGCAGCCCTACTGTGCACCAGTTGCAAAAATGTCGGTATTTTTTGGCATGTTTTGTGCTGAAACGATCACTTATCAACAAAATTTATAATCGATTGACTGTTCAGTCACATGTGATGATTGGCTGATTTTGACTTTTTGGGATTGGACCAGGACATCACGATACAGGATAAATGTATATCAATACTTTGAAAACTCCTCTAAACTACTGTAGACTACTTAAATACCAAACGACGAAATAACCTACTGTTGCAATTAAGCTAAAATGCTGTTACAATAAAGTTGAATAAAGTCCTATTATAATGAAATAAAGCTAAACCACTGGTGCTTTTATTCTGAAGCAGCCGGCTCTACTCGGGCCAGAGGCGTGATGTTTTTGCTGTGAACTTGAAAGCTTCTAGTCAACATTTAGCAGTTAGCAATAAGTTAAACCATTACAGTGGCTAAACGTGATTTATTCTCTGTGAGCGGGAAACAAACTAAAAGCTCTCCAGTTCATATATTATTAATATTTGCAAGTCACACTGGTGCTC